AATTTAAAACTGAAGGTTGAAGAGAATATTAATTTAATGAAAACTTTGCATCCACCCCTTTTAACATCAAATTTCAGACGGAACTGCAAATATAACTACAAAGTCAAAGAGAATGATAATGAAACAGTCTGAATTAAAAATACATGATATGACTTGGCTTGTTTATAAAGTAAAAATGTTTTCTAAGCATTACAAACTATATATTACACATACATATATATGTGTGTGTGTGTATATATATATATATATATATATATATATATATATATATATATATATATATAGACAACATTTTGATTTTTACTTTTTTTATCTGACAAGTTAATTGATAATCAGTATGGTTCAAAAGTTGTGCACTTTAGTGTAAAGAAGTCAAGGGACACACCTGGTAATTTGGGTGAATTTTAGTCCTTTTCTTTTTATTAATCCCTCGAACAATGAACCAAACAGAAGTTATGCTGTCTCTCTTTCCCTCGCCCCCCCCCCCCCCTCCCCCTCTCTATCTCTCTCTTTTTGCAATATCCTGCTGTTTGTATCTTCATATATTTTTACACAATGAGACTCTTGTTTTTCAAATAGATTGTTACACTTCTAAAGAAAATGTTAATTTCTATCATTGATAATGTATGATAATTGTCTTAATTATTCTGTAATATACATCTGTATCGTCTTATATGTCTAGAGGTTGTCTTTTTTATCATCACTTCTAGTGCCAGACAGTTTACTCTAACAGTTTCAGAGTTTACATACTTGAGTCTCAGAGTTTCTGAGTCACCGCCCACGCAACATCCATGGTATTTAGCTTCATGGGACCTGGGTATTGGACCTACCCTCTGTGCGCCAACTCAGTTATGTTACATCTCATGTTAGACAAAAACTTATATCTCAGACTTTAAAAAAAAAATCTTACATTATTACTGACTGGCACCGAAAGTACATGGGGACCAGGGGTCATTATGAAAATTAAAGTTAAAGACGAGAGGATCTACTTCATCGCTCCAGGTTATGTCTCGTTTTGCTTGGCCTCTCAAAGGAAAACAGCTAACTGCCTGCCAAAAAAACATCACACAAAGCATGAACTCCGTAGCTCCGGTGGCAGTCCCCAGAATCTCAGTAACAAATGTGAACCGAATGACGCAGCCACTAAGCGAACCCATGACCTTCAGAGCATGAGGCAAACAGGTTGACCACTTCACCACATAGACCTCTCATTGTACAAATATGGAAAGATAATAAGTATAGATCGATATTTTGCTTTTGGTATTTTTATTTATACATACAGATTAGAACTACAGGAACAATACATTCAATATCCTGCCATGTCCCTCTACGTCCCATAGGGCTAGCAGTTTATTCCTTCATTCCATTCTATCTTGTGCAATCAGTTCAATAACATGGATAGAATCCAATCCAGCAGCATTGGCCTCTCTCACCAACATTCATCTTAGGGTTTCTTTTGGGGATCTCCTTAACTCTTTAAGGCCCAAACAACGGTGTGAGCGTAGTTTGAGAAGTTCCGTTCTGCCCAAACAACAGTGTCATCGTTAATCGTGTATCTCTTACATTTTGCTTCGCATGCGCGTTCGTACTAGTTTCTAATGTTTGGAGGTACGAATAACCTATTCAGGGAAAGTCACTCTACCGAAATCCTTTTAGTTTCACTTCTTGGACTAAAACACACGTGGATAATTTGAGAGAAAAAAAAACATCAATTTTTTTTACAGTTTATTTTCTAAGTTCGTTTTTGAGTGCACTGAATACCAATGTTCTAACCACAAGAACAGGTCGCAGAATGCGTCTTTCTGCGGCCGAAGCTCTGAAATTGTTTCAGTCAGATGTTTTAATTGTGAAAATGATAATAAAAATTTAGATTTTTCGGAAAGTGATTCAGACAGTGAATTTTTCACCAGTGAAGCTGAGCGATCAGCTGTTCGGAAAACTAGCGATTCTGACGAGTTTTTATTGCACAGACAATGTCCCATACTACCGTATTTATGGTGTAAGAGAAGACAGCAGTGCTCTAAACAAAGAGATAGTACTATACTATGGCTAAGCCACATTGAAATCATCGCAGCTACAGTCTGTAAATAACTGTACAAAGTGAATAGTAAATAGTGTGTGTGTTATGGCTCATTTTATGCCATTTTTTTCTCTGAAATTTTGCTTAGCACAGATATTGACACACAACTAAGAGCCCCTGAGTAATAAACTAACCCAGAAAGTTATCATAACTTTAGAATAGTAGAAAATTGAACAAAACTTTGAAGTTTTGTTCTCAAATTTGGATATTTACTATTCTTGTGGCTGCAAAACCATGGTAAGTGAAGAATTTTTTTGTGAAATGTTGTCCTTGTGAAAAGTTAACACCTGCTGAATTCTTCTTTTCCACTAACTATAACAAAATTAAACAAACACTTATCATCAGATTCAGAATGTACACTCATTTCTCGTTTAAAAAATATATACTGTTATAGGGATTAGAAGTATATTACAGTCTCTACAGCCTTTCTTGTACACCCACCCCTCTGCCATTTTTGTAAAGGGAAATTAATGTGGGCCAAGTCTGTCAAAATTCATGGGCCTGAAAGAGTTAATCCCTTTATTTCCATTTGTAATGCCTGTTTAGTGATTCTGTGCTGCTTACTTCTCATGATGTGTCTGGCGTAGTGCCATCTTCTCTGTCTTGTAACTGCTGATACTAGTGGTCCCCCAGACATTTCTTTTATTTCTTCACTTCTTTTGAATTCATTCCACTTTATTGTCATCATTTTCAGCAGACATTTGTTTTGAGATGCATTTTTAACTTGTTTTCATGTCTTTAGTGGTTCTCCAACTGTCACTTGCATATATTAATATGCACATAAATAAAATGGTTTGGCCACCCAGTTAGAATGAAACCAACAATGCCATTAGTGAGAGCGAATGCTATGAACATTGGAGGCACAAGGGAGACCTAGAAGAATATGGATTGATAAGTTCTGACAGCGTAAGACATCACATACCAAGCAACTAAGCATGCCTTGGCATGGCTGCATATCCTCCATTAAACTGCAGTGGGTTGACAGAAGAAAGTAAGACAGCAATGTTGAACAAAACAGATATTGACACACACAAAAGTAAGACAGCAATGTTGAACAAAACAGATATTGATACACACAAAAGTAAGACAGTAGTGTTGAACAAAAACAGATATTGACAAAAGAAAGTAAGACAGCAGTGCAAAACAAAACAGATATTGACTAAAGATAGTAAGACAGCAGTGCTGAACAAAACAGATTTTGACAAAAGAAAGTAAGACAGCAGTGCTGAACAAAACAGATTTTGACAAAAGAAAGTAAGACAGCAGTGTGGAATAAAACAGATATTGACAAAAGAAAGTAAGACAGCAGTGTGGAATAAAACAGATATTGACAAAAGAAGTAAGACAACATGTTGAACAAAAAATATATTGACAAATGAAATAAGACAGTAGCATTGACACAACAGATATTGACAAAAGAAGTAAGACAGCAGTGACGCACAAAAAAGAAATTAACAAAAGAAAAAAGTCTGTAATGTTCAACAGAACAGATATTGACAAAAGAAAGTAAGACATTAGTCTTAAATAAAACAGATATTGACAAAAGAAAATAAGAAAGAAGAGATGCAAGCTGTTTTTTTTTCAGAACTCATTCAGCACTAGGTAGCTTACCATGTGTTTTTATGATGCGTCCTGCAGTTCTTTTAAACAGTCACATGCAAAACATAGCCTGCCTAAAAATATATGCACACTTTAAATCTTGTCATCTGTGTACCCTGTCCACTCTCCCCTTTTCAATTTAATGAGTCATTTGTAGCAATGGGTAACATGATGTTCTCTCCAATGATGTAATTACTCAAACATTACTCACATGAACTGAGGCCCTTCAAAAGATGAACTGAGGCCCTTCAGAAGATGAACTTAGGCCCTACAGAAGATGAACTGAGGCCCTTCAAAAGATGAACTGAGGCCCTTCAGAAGATGAACTGAGGCCCTTCAGAAGATGAAGTGAGGCCCTTTAGAAGATGAACTGAGGCCCTTCAGAAGATGAAGTGAGGCCCTTAAGAAGATTACCTGAGGCCGTTCAGAAGAAACAGTTCACACAGCATGTACAGCAGTCCACCTGAAAACTTTAGCCAGCATTGCCCAAGCAATAATTATTCTTGCTTTGCTAATGTTACCCACATTAAACAGTGCAATGGTAGAAGTTGAGACATTAAACAGTGCAATGGTAGAAGTTGAGACATTAAACAGTGCAATGGTAGAAGTTGAGACATTGAACAGTGCAATGGTAGAAGTTGAGACATTGAACAGTGCAATGGTAGAAGTTGAGACATTAAACAGTGCAATGGTAGAAGTTGAGACATTGAACAGTGCAATGGTAGAAGTTGAGACATTAAACAGTGCAATGGTAGAATTTGAGACATTGAACAGTGCAATGGTAGAAGTTGAGACATTGAACAGTGCAATGGTAGAAGTTGAGACATTAAACAGTGCAATGGTAGAAGTTGAGACATTAAACAGTGCAATGGTAGAAGTTGAGACATTAAACAGTGCAATGGTAGAAGTTGACACATTGAACAGTGCAATGGTAGAAGCTGAAGGTTTCTTGTACTCAGTTCTCTATGATGGCAAAGATTTCTTGTATTCATCCTGTATAAACTCAAAGATTTATCGTATTCATCCCTTTATGTTTATACATTTTGAATTGTAATTTGTATGCATGTTATCTTTAGCTAAATTTTGTATAAACAATTTTTTGTTTTGGCAGATTTTTTTAAAGAATAATTCAACTGTTTCACAAATAAATTATTTTATAGATACAATGGATGAAAAGCCAAGCTGTATCGCTGCCGGTTATTTAGACGTTCCTAGGGGGCAGACTGTTGTACTTCAAGGACCCTCAAAAGATAATTCTGTTGCCAAAGAGCTGAACTGCCGCTTGATGTTCCAAGCACAGACCGAAGGAGACACATTGAGAATGACTTTAGATTCAGCATCAATTTTTGAGGATTGTGATGTGTCATTGGAGCTCTCTATGGAAAATAGCAACGCTGATGTGAGTTTATACACATGAATAAGTAGTAATAGTTGAAGTTTGTACATATGGACAATTATTAGTAGTTCAAGTTTGTACATTTGGATAATTATTAATAGTTCAAGTTTGTACATTTGGATAATTATTAGTAGTTCAAGTTTGTACATTTGGATAATTATTAGTAGTTCAAGTTTGTATATTTGGATAATTAGTAATAGTTCAAGTTTGTACACATTGATCAATTGAGCACTGTGAGATTTGTGTACTTGTGGGTAAAGATGTATGGACAACCACTGTGTTTTATCAGTTATAAAACAAAGAAGGTGGTGCTGTATTGGGTATTGAGAAGAAGCAAGCAGAGAATCACCAAACAGGCACTGAAATTGGAAACAAATGAGATTAGGAAATTAAAGCATTCAAGAGAAACCCTACAATGAAGGTGTTTGACAGAGGCCAAAAAGTGCAGACAGCCCAGTCGCAAGCACCTCTCGTCTTCCGCTGCAACAGGGCGTGGCACACCGCCGCGACATGCTGCAGCAGCCCATCATGCCGATACTGCTAAAAAAGCCACGACTTCAAGGAATGCCCGCTAGCCAAAGTCGATAGCGACTTCAAGAAGCCTAACATAAACCGGAAATGCAGCAACTGCGCAGGAGCTCACAGGTATCTGGGTTGCCCGTACATTAAGGAGTGTAGAAAAGCAATGGCAGCTACCATCGCCAGAGATACATACCATGGGCACAGGCAACAAGAGGCAAGACAGCCGGGAAACCTACCAAAAGACAGACAAACTGATAAGGCACGCTCTGCCACCAAGCAAGACGAACTGCCACAGATAATCAATGAGCCGAGAAGCCAAATTACAGCATTCCAGAAAGAACGGAGACCCTAGAACTGATTTCTCTGCTACTAGGGGAAGTCAAGGACCTAAAGGCAGACAGGCTGGCACACGCTACCCAGCAATTCTTAGCCGACCAAAATGACCAATATGAACTGGATAACTACGTACTATGGAACACACCACAGCAAACCACTCCCGCCCAGAGAAACAACCGAGGAAGACGACGACGACGCTACAAACGTAGCAGAAGCCAAAAACCTGAGCTGCCATCTTTCAGGAAAAGCCAGCTCGCTAAACGAAGGACGCCAGGACACTGCCAGAACCTGACAGCAGAAGCCAGACCTACAGAAAACCCCACCCTTCCCGTTCCAGGCTGCCCCAGGCACATATGGCTGTCCTTATGAGGACTGCCATTTCCAATCCCAAAAACTGGAAGCCGCCCGTTAAGCCTATGCCGCTGACATGATGAAGCAAATAAATCAAAACTCATGCGAAAATCATCGCCACAAAGAAACGAACTAAAACTCAGACAGCAAATAACCCGTCCTTGAAAAAGCAGGCCGTCAGACGGCTAAAAAAGGACTAAGCTTGTCATTTTTATTTTCTTTACAACCAACCAAACAACCGTAATGGCATATGGATCAATGTAACATCGATGTGAGATGGTATAGTTAAATATGACTGACATTCACGTGGGTTAGCCATAGTACCATTCCTGTGCATTTGTACAAATGGGTAGTTGCATAAGGACTGATAGGAATTTTGCTTGAGCCAGAACACAAATATTACTTTTTTCAGTTGTCTCCCTTCCTCGAAAAAAAAAAAAAAAAAGAAATTTCAGAAAAGTAATTCTCACAACTTCCCTCATTTTGAGGGGGGAAATTTATAAACTGACTACCCGTGAACAGGCATGTAATAAAAGGTGACTAACTACAGGTGCTTTTTTCAAAAATGGTGTGCATTAATTAGGTCAGTGGAGAGGTAAGGCACCTGCTTCCCTTCAGTAGACTACATGACACTTATAGACAAGTTGGGGTACCTGTTTAGCCCCATCCTCTACGATGGTAAAGGGAAACCTTGGAAGCAGGTGGTGGACGGAGCATTCCAGCAGTGGTCATGATCTTAAGTTCCCTAACAGAGGGCAGATGATCACCTTACAGTGGCTGGCTCTGGTCACCTGACTGGTCTGACTATTGTCAAAAAAAAAAGAAGCGGCAAGCTGACTTTTTTAAAGATGTCAAGATAAATCATGATTTGATACACAACTACATGGCTCTGAAGCTTGGTTGAGCATGTCTGTGCTCTGGTGTCATGGTAACACTAAAGGAGCTACTATGATGTAGTGGGTAGATGCTCGCCTGTGGACCAAAAGGTCCAAAAAAGTATTTTTTTAAATTAAAAAAATAACCCTGTCTCCCAGGTATACCCAGCCTAAATTAAGTACCCGGTAAGGTCCTAGGAAATGAAGATGGTCGGTGCAAAGTTAGCAGCATCACCCATAGAGTGCCAGTTGGTCTATAGAATCTAGGTCTAGCACTACACACCCTATACCTAAGGTAGTGGAAGAGCGTCCTTTTTGGGAACAGTAAGCAAATGTAACCTGGGCTGGCTGCTGTAGTGGAGGGCTGAGCGTATATGGGAATGCCCAGTGTGCTGTAGTGTCAGTGCAGTAATAAAACATTTAGATACTTATAACAATTTCGAGGATATTAGAAACATAGTTAGTGGAGGGAGAGAATGCAGGATGGGTGGATGGAGAGAATGTCATGGCAAGTGCTGGTATTTACACTTTTCTTCTTCTTCTCTTCCACCTTGTACCTCAGCGAAGTGTCTTCATATCTATTATTGGCCTTCTCATTCCAGTTTATGACTCCAGATGTTTCTAGGTCTGCCTGTACATTATCTCTCCCGTCTTCAGTGGTTTGCCTCCATTTCTACTACCATTTGTGTTTTGAGTACAGTATTAGTTAGTTAGTTAGTTGGGTTATCATCATTGCACTCCGGACATGTCCATAGGTGCTCAGATCCTCCCCTCAGTATGAACCCCAATGTCCGATGGCTAATAGTACTAGTTCTATGTTGATTAACAAGTCATCTGGTGTGCGTCTCGTTTTTTGCCATGCCAATCGTAATGCCATGCCAATCTTGATTCCCAAATTTGCCATTCTGGTGAGTGATGTAGATTCACTGCCCCCAAAGTCCTCTATCCTTCCCATTTCTCTGAGGCGAGTACAGTATTTGTCTCTTTGATACCTACCAACCATTCTCTCTATATGCCCCCATCATTGCAGTTTATTAGCTGTCATTATGCCAGTAATTAATGTTGATTTAAACAGATTGTTTTTTGTTTTGTTTTGTTGTTTGTTTATATTTGACATCATCATCCTCAATATATTTTTAGAGAGTGATTCGAGGCTGCAAATCTGTGCCTGGGACTGCTCCTATTCTGTCAGCTGTGAATGGTAAAGCCATGGTATGGCTGACAAGGAAGGCGTATGATGATAACGGTTACTGGTTTCAAGTTAAAATTACAGCATTGAGAAGTAAGTTGTTAATACATTGAATTAAAGCTTTTTGGGGTAGTAAAACAGTTACTGGTTTTAAGTTAAAATTACAGCATTGAGAAGTAAGTTGTTAATACATTGAATGAAAGCTTTTTAGGTTAGTAAATCAGTTACTGGTCTTAAGTTAAAATTACAGCAATTTTGAGAAGTAAGTTGTTAATACATTGAATTAAAGCTTTGTAGGGTAGTAAACCAGTTACTGGTTTTAAGTTAAAATTACAGCATTGAGAAGTAAGTTGTTAATACATTGAATTAAAGCTTTTTAGGTTAGTAAATCAGTTACTGGTCTTAAGTTAAAATCACAGCATTGAGAAGTAAGTTGTAAATACATTGAATTAAAGCTTTTTAGTGTAGTAAACCAGTTACTGGTCTTAAGTTAAAATTACAGCATTGAGAAGTAAGTTGTTAATACATTGAATGAAAGCTTTTTAGGGTAGTAAATCAGTTACTGGTCTTAAGTTAGAATTACAGCATTGAGAAGTTGTTAATACATTGAATGAAAGCTTTTTGGGGTTGTAAAACAGTTACTGGTCTTAAGTTAAAATTACAGCAGTAAGAAGTAATTTGTAAAAATATTGCACGAAATGTATTACATTGGCAGTACCAATTATGGTTTTCTGTTCCACCAGTGAGAACTAATCTGTAGAAATATTGCGAGAGAAAAAAAGCTTATTATAAAGATACTAGTATTGAGGTATTGTAGTAGTAGTATTTTAAAAAATATCCTGTTTAACACTACTGGGTTATAATTGGGATATGCAGAAACAGTTTTTTTTTTAAATATTTTTTTTTAAATTTTAGTAATGGATATTTATGCCTACCTTTTTCTTTTGTTATACAATATCGTAAAGCTTATGTAGCTGCTGTATGCTATTGTTGGAGTTTAGATTGCCACATTCAGTATATTTTTAATGTACTTTCAAACAATGAGAGTAATTATAAAGTGTAGTCTGTCTTTGTCGATATATAAAGTGATCTGGAATATCATTATTCTGTCTGAAAACATCTCTTATGTGAATCCCTGTTCTTATAATGTACTGTTTAATCCTTCCCTGTAGTACTCTAGAGCCATCAACTTCCCACTTGTTTCCTATTGTCATAGGCTTATTGTAGCAGATCATTTTTCATTAACTTGAGTCCTTTTGAATTCATGTTTCATGCAGTAGAGTAAATAATGTTTGGTATTATTATGTACATCACATTCAGAACAGGTGTCTTCTGTTATGGTGAAAAAAGTCGTGCTAAGCTGCAGTCTCAGTAATTTTTCATTGATAGGTATTTTTAGTTCACTTGTTATTTGAAATTTTCTAGTTGGAGCCTTAAATAATTTGTGAGCATCATTTTTTTTAAGCTCCCATTCAATATCCCTGTCTATTATTTTTGTAATGATTACCATTATTATGATTAAAATACTCCTATCTTTTAAAAAACAATTCTTGTCTAGTATTATTGCTTGCCTGATCTATGCTGTAACTGTAGATATAGATGTGGTAATTCACTTCTTTATTGTTTCCTAACAAGCAGCGGGTGGAAATAATAGTAAGTGGTCTTAAATACACATTTGTTCTGGCTTGTTACCTTCTCTTACAACTGAACAGTTCATATTTTCATACAACTGTTACTCTTTCCATAGAACTAATCTGTTAATATTTCCATACAGCTGAACAGTTATTCTTTCCATACAGCTGAACAGTTAATATTTTCATACAGCTGAATAGTTAGTTATCTTTCCGTATAACTGATCTGTTAATATTTTCATACAACTGAACAGTTACTCTTTCCATACAACTAAACAGTTAATCTTTCCATACAGCTGAACAGTTACTCTTTCCATACAACTGAACAGTTAGTATTTTTGTATAGCTGAATAGATTTCTTTCCGTATAACTGATCTGTTAATCTTTCCATACAGCTGAACAGTTGATCTTTCCATACACCTGAATTTACTCCTTTTATTTGACTTGACAGTTACTCTTTTTTTATTAACCCACTGACTACCAAGCCCATTAACCCTTGCATTTCCCCAGATACCACGTATTTTAGTGTTTACTAAAAATGCCATAGCTTCACAACTATTTGATATAATCTCACAATATTTTGTATTTTTGCACCAAACTGAATAAAGAACAGATTTCAAGAAAAAAAAGTTGTTTATTTTGTTTTGCATCATCATCATGTGGCTGTAGATTGGTGCAAAAAAGGCAACCGGAAAATCTTTTATCTGACAACAATAAAGACAAAAAAAAAATGTCTTATTTTCAAAAAATATTTAACAAAAATGTATAATATTTTGTATTTTTGCACAAAATTATACCAAGAACACATTTAAAGAAAAAAACAATAAGGTTTACTCTGACATAGTCATCATCATCATGTGGCTGTAGATTGTTGCAAAAAAGGCAACTGAAAAATCCTTTGTCTGACAATAATTCAGACTCCCAAAAAATGTCACAGCTTCACAACTGTTCAATATCACTTATCCTATCTGATATTGTTTGCACAAAATTAAATAGATAACACATATCAAGACAAATGTAGATTTACTGTTTTATATCATCATCATGTGGCTGTAGATATGGTGCAAAAAAGTCAACTGAAAAATCCTTTGTCTGACAATAATTCAGACTCCCAAAAAATGTCACAGCTTCACAACTGTTCAGTATCACTTATCCTATCTGATATTGTTTACACAAAATTAAATAGATAACAAATATCAAGACAAATTTAGATTTACTGTTTTATATCATCATCGTGTGGCTGTAGATATGGTGCAAAAAAGTCAACTGAAAAATCCTTTGTCTGACAATAATTCAGACTCCCAAAAAATGTCACAGCTTCACAACTGTTCAATATCACTTATCCTATCTGATATTGTTTACACAAAATTAAATAGATAACAAATATCAAGACAAATGTAGATTTACTGTTTTATATCATCATCATGTGGCTGTAGATATGGTGCAAAAAATGCAACTGAAAAATCCTTTGTCTGACAATAATTCAGACTCCCAAAAAATGTCACAGCTTCACAACTGGTCAGTATCACTTATCCTATCTGATATTGTTTGCACAAAATTAAATAGATAACAAATATCAAGACAAATGTAGATTTACTGTTTTATATCATCATCATGTGCCTGTAGATATGGTGCAAAAAAGGCAACTGAAAAATTTGTTATCTGACAGCAACATACAGAAAACGCCCCCGTGACATGATGGTGGCAGCAAATGATGAGTGGAGAGATGGATATAGACTCTGGTAGTCTGAAATAGACAGCTTTTTCACAACACATGTGACGCAACAGTACAAGAAACCCTGTCACTTCATTTGGGGTTGTGTGTTTCCAGTTCCAGCACTAATCTTTGTCTCAGCATAACGGTTTGTTTCTTTAGCAAACACAGCAAGTATGTCTTTACTGAAGAAAATATCCAGTGGTTCATTTGTTCCTTCTGGCAGAAATAAACCAGAAGTGCCAGTAAATGGGGGTACTCCAGGAAAGCCTTCTAAATCACAATGCCAGTCATCAACCATTTGGGGGCGTGGCACATCTTCTCCGGACTCGTTAGATGATGATGATTCTGAATCAAAAGCGGCAATGATATCTTCGTCATGTGCATACTCAAGCACAAAATCTTTATAATCTGTGGGCTTTGACTGAATACTCTCACAAGAACTATTAGCATCATAAACTGCAGCACTAGTGCTTTCAGCTGACAACACTGTCTTTGTCAGATGACTTCGAAGCGTCATACTGTCGTTTTACAGTTTTACAGTCGACGATGTTTTGAATGGCATAGCCATAGCCATCAAACTGTTCAGAAGTGTCTTCAAATTCACTTTTTGAAGCAAAATCAAGAAAATCGCATGCATCATTAGAAAAATTAGGACAGATATGGCCACCACGATTGTTCCGATAATTTGACGCCATGATGAATTTTTCGTCAATGTCTCACCGTCATGGGAGCTAACTAAAACAATTCGTCAAATATTTACTTTAAGCACTACGAAGTTATTTCCCTTAATTAACCATACAGAAATAAATAAGCTAGAGGTTTCAACTAAATCCATCATAAAAATCGCGATTTTAACATGACGGCGAGCATCCAAAGCTGAAATCGCAAGGAGTGTGACGTTGGCAGCAGGAAGTAAACGTCGCCTCGTCGCATTACGTGCGACGCTGGTAGTCAGTGGGTTAAACTGAACAGTAACTCCTTTTGTTCTACAGAACAGTTACTCTTTTTTATTTAAGTAAACAGTTAACATTTTCATACAGCTGACCAGTTTGTCATTTCATACAATTGAGCTGTGTAGTCATGCACCTGATGAGATACAACAAAATAAAGCAGTCAATAAATTGCTTAATCCTCATTATTTACTAGTAACAAAATCTAAAAGACTGAGAAGATGGGACTGTATTTAACACATTCTGAGAAGAGACAAACAGAAAATTTACCAAACAGGTGCAGAAGTGGCCAATATATGGACTGAGGAAATGAGGATGTCTAAAAGAAACCCTAGAATGAATGGGGATGAGAGGAAACCAAAGGTGCTAGACCAGTTCCCATCCATGTTTTGGAAGGGACTGCACAGGATAGAGCAGAATGAAAAAATAGACTGTGAGCCCTATGTGACACATATGGCACAGCAGATCAATGAATGAAACCTCATTATTTATCTAAATTCACAGTTCTGTCTTAAGCGTTGTTTGCAGTTTTCTGTAACAGAAGTTTTATGCAGATCTTAGTGTCAGCCCTTCTAACCTCACCTCATTATCATTGGTGGTCTGGCTGGATCCACTTAATTTAAACTTCATGAAGATCATACTCTCAATGATGAATTACATCACAGGTGGTACTTTCAGGTGGAGTGCTATCTCACTGTGATAACTTCTTCACATTTTTGTTTTCTTTCATTGATGCAGTTTTACATTAAAAGTTAATGAATAAATTGACATTTGTCTGACCATTTGGTTTAAGCAATCCTGATAAGTACTTGTTATTTCTTTCAGCTGAGATGCAAGGAAATCAGGATACTGCCAGCACAGGCGATATTGGAAAAATTATTGGAATAACTGTTGGAATTATTGTTTTTCTTGTGATTTTAATAATCATATGTATATGTTGCTACAAAAGACGAAATGCTAACGAAAAGCCACAGGAAAACAAAAATGGCAAATTAAATGACAAACTGGATAATTCTCTATCCCCTTATGTAGGCCATGGGTATGAAAACAACATGGCCAAACTCAGTTATGAAGACTCATTTCATCAGTCGCCAGGTTCTGACAGAAAATTACTAAGCAGTGATCAGAAGTCAAAATCTGCACTTGAAAGATTTGGGGATACCTCAGCACGTAAGGAGAAGTCGGAAGGGGTTGATGCAACACCAAAAAGAGACAGACACCAGAATCATGGTTTTAATAGAAACGAAACCAATTTTGGTCAGGATGTTGGAAGGAATGTTTCTAAGCAAAGATTTGCAGATGAATGTTTGGAAAGAGCATCTGATCAGAGCTCGCTGACAGATTTATCATCACTTGCTGTAGCAAGTAAGCCTGTAAGCACACAGAAATCAATGCAAGATTCAAAATCATCTCCAAAGCCTTCAGGTTTGCGCAGACCAAGAGAGAACAAGTCTGATTCCAATCAGTATCAGCCTTCTGCTACATCAGAATTTGATAGATACAAAGATGGAAAAGACGAGGACAGAAGTTATAAATCAAATAAGAATCTCAGCTCAGACAAGTATGATGCAGGGTGGGAGAAGTCTCAAAGGAAACCTGATGAGAAGAGGAGACATAATGATTATGAAGAATATGATAATGAAGAGAGAATAAGAGATAGGGGGCCTAAAGCTGACAGGAAATTACGTAATTATAGTCAAGATGATGATGATAGTGATCAGATGGAAGATACTCGGAAGAATAAGAAAAGAAGTGAAAGCTCAGATAAGCATGATGTAAGTTGGGAAAAATCGCAAAGGAGACCTGACGAGAAGAGAAGACATAATGAGTATGATAACGAAGATAAAAAAAGAGAAAAGGGTCTTAGAGCTGACAAGAAATCACAAATTATCACAGTCAGGAAGATGATGATAGTGAACAGATGGAAGAAATTCAAAAGAAGAAAAGTGAACGTGATGGTAGGTCTCATAGCAGAGAAGATGTTAGAGAGCATGAAGGAAGATTTATAAAATCCGCGAGTGGCCGTAAACCCAAGAGCAAAAATCCCAAGATGGGGAGATCAAGAAGCACAGGTAATGCACTAGATGACTTGTACTCGGATGATGGGAAAATGCAACCTAAATCATCCAGTGTTAGATCTCTCAGCGTCATGGATGATGATGACACTGAACTGGACAGCAACTATCAGCGTGAGTTATTTTTCTTTTCTTTTCTTGTTAGTACAGTTAGATTACTTTCTGCTTCTTCTTCTGTTCCTCCTGTTACCTCAGCCAAGTATCGGGAGTAGACACATTTTCGACCAACTTTATGCCAGACTTGTCAGACTAAAACTAATGAGTACAAAATCATAATAGAGATGAAAGGTCTTATTAGAGCTGCTGGGCTAACAAGAAGAGATACAATTAAAAATAAAATAAAAATTTGAAAAGTTTAGAAATGAAACCAGTCATACAGTATATTAAAGAGCAACAGTTGAGATGGTTTGGCCATTCAAGGAGAATGCCCTGGTATCACTTGTGCAATATATTATTTGTGTTTTCATTGTTTAAATTGACAATGAAAAAGATTGTTTAAAATGTGTGGAGGTCAAGGGAAATTATAACCAGTGGCAAACTTAAAAAACAAATCAGAAACAGAAAGAGGGACCTCTTCTTTTCATTGTCCCTGTCAATGATTTCAGAATGAAGGTATCAGGACTCTTTGAAATCTGTGATGCAATGCCTGTCTTCCACAGATCCACACAACCTGGTTTCCATTAGAATGCCAACTGGCCATACCTGGAATCTCTCTATTGCATGTAGAGAGTGTGTCTCTAGCACTTAAGTATTTTGTGGCACCTGTACACGAGAGCAAAGTTCTGAATTCCCAGTCTTAGAGCTGTTTTTTTTTTCAACCTTCACATTTTACCCCCCAAAAAATATGTTCCCACTGTCAGTTTAACTCATAGAGTGACTAAAGCAATTACTAAGAAAACTACAGACATGCACTAACTGGTGCAGAATAAGTATACAAGAATATGACAGAATAACTGGTGTGGAACTTAGGTAAAGAACTTAGCACATTCCATAATATCCCACCTACGTGAGGAAAATATGTAGGCACAGAATGGTACACTCACTGAGGAACAGTCATTTTAATCAAACACAGAAGTACTGACAGAATGAAAAGAAAGTTATTGAAATAAATAAAACAGACAACTTAAATATTTCTGCAACATGTAAAGATAAACATTCTTTTAAAAGGCATACTGGCAAGATAATTTGAAAGAAAAGAACAAGAGGCAGACAGTTATACATATGGCAGAACATCCTTAGAAAATGAGCAAACATTGCTTTACCTCTTTCAGTCCCAACCAATGCGCTATGTGTGATCAGGTATTGCCCATGAGTACAAGCCACAAATGATTTAACTAGTGTTTTACTTAATAATGTTTAAAAAACCTGGCTAGTTATTATAATATGTTTCAGTATTTGTGTTTGCTGCACCTGTGACAGCTATGCTGTCAAACGTTTTTAATGTTTATTGAGTCTATCGCTAACTTGGAATCGTCCAGCTAAATATTCTAGTACGCAAAGAGTTGAGGGAATGTACAACCAGGATAGGAAACTGTGCAGGACATGCATTGTAGCCAGCCTTTATTAAGGAAACAGCACATGATTGATCCAGAAAGGTTTTTTTAATTCTTTTCTGGAACCCATAAGGCAGCAATATAAATACAGGGAGACTTAAAAACACGGAAAGGGGAAAGTGAAATAGAGATAAAGTTGAGAATGTGGGAGACTTTCAGAGAGCTGTGGGCGATGACAAGAGCTAGGAGGACTTGGCGTAAGTTAGTTGAGGGTCTGTGTTGCAGTTGGGGATTAAGAAAAAACATTCATAATTCTCACAGAGATGTGTATCAAAATTTGAAACAAAAATATTACTTATTTGCATTTTATTTTAAAATATTGTCATTTTTTAAATGTTAAATAAATTTGTTTTTTTAAATCTCCTTAGCCTTCAAGCGATCTGGCTCTAAGACTTCACTGTATGCTTCACGCTCATCTCTGTATGGTAGAAGACGTAAGAATTCAATGGGTGAAACAATGTCCATGTCTTCTTATGCACTGTCTTCGTATGTACATGATGATCTGGACTCACGTGTGGGAGACTTTGATAGTTCATTGTTGTCTCATAAGGAGAAGGAGCGGCTGTTCAAGTCTACAGGAGACTTGAATGTTAGCTCTGCTATCATTGTCCGTGAATGTGCAACACAGACTGGAAGCAGCAAAGAAGTCTCTGTCTATGGGAAGAGAACTGTTCCACAAAGGAAACACGGAAAACGCTATAACCGTGGTACTCAGACGACACGACAAAGAAGAGATTCAGGAGCATCTGAAAAATCTGGGAGGTCTGAGAGATCTGGAAAGTCAGTGAGATCAAACCGAAATCTACGGTCAAAAAGCAGAAGTAAGGAAAGTCTGAGCAGGAGACATCGTTCAAGATCCAGAGATTTAAGTGATGATGACACCAGTGAAAAAATGTCACCGTCGAAGGCATTCTGAACGCAAATACACGGATGACAGTGACAGTGAGGAAGACCAGTACCACAGTCGCTCAAAGTCAAACCAAAGAGAGAAATATACCAGTGACAGAAATGGGAAAAGTTCACGAAATAAATCCAAAGAAAGATCACATTCCAGGCAGAGACATAGAGATCACAGTGAAAGCGAAGATGAACAGTCTCAATATTCTTCAAAATCTTATGAAACAAACAAGACTGAACAGAATTCCCAACTTAGTTTTGCCCCATACAGCAGTGTTCCTGCTCAACATGCTCATCAGTATGGCCAGCAAATACCTCAGTTTCTTCCAGCAGGCTACCCTCCAGCAGGCTACCCAATGGTCATTCAACAACCCACAACTGCCTTCATATCCACTGATCAGAATGGGATGCCTGTCATAATTCCTGTAACGTCTCTGACCGAGCGTGCCATACAACAAAAGCCTGCTGTACCTGTAAAACCAAATGCATCCAAGTGGGACCAGCTGGTGAATATCACAGATGACATAAAGAAAAGACGACATCAAATGGGGGAATCCTTGGAAACTGAGTCGGTGATGAGTTCAGTATGGAGTCAGCCTCGGGTTCACCGTTCTGAATCACCTTACACAAAAACCCAGAAGATGCAGGGATCTGATCGTATCTATGGTTCACAGTATGCGGCAGCTTATGATGTAGGGACACCAGACAGTGAATACACTGTTGGCTACAGCAGAAACTATTCTGCAACAGACAGCAGTGTGTGACTGCTAAGTTACAGTTGCTGCAGTGGTCAACACTGTTTTTTTTTTTATGGCTTTAATTCAAAAATTATGTGAAAATTATTAACATCTGGAGAGATGAACAACAAATTAAATTAAAGATTATAAAATGTTATGTCAACTCAGTCCTACTGTATGATGCAGAAACCTTGGCAAGGAAGAGACAGACAGTCACATTCAGTCACTGTAATGTGGATATACAGAAAAAGAGGGTATACTTCATTAAAACAATAACTGTTTGGCTTTTTTGGTGGCCACTTTAGCTATGTACTTACCCTCTTTACCTGTCATACATTTGTGGCTGTTTCCCCGTTTTGGCATGATATTACCTGTATCACCCATCCAAGCGATAATTGGTTTATACAAATATGGGTCTAGCACTGTATCTGTATGTTGGCTGGGATGTTGAAAAAAAGTGGGGGGGGGGGGGGGGTGGTCCTCTACTTTTATTTCTCTTACTGTCCCATTCTAAACTTTCTGGAACTGAAAGAGTTTTAATTCATTAGAAAAGGCAATGAAATTACAGTCACTGCTGTTCTCCTCCCCCCCCCCCCCCCCCTCCCCCTCTCCCCCCCAAATAATAAAAATGTACACATAATTAACTCTTTGAGTCCCAAGGAACACACGATGTGCTGATTTTATTACTTTCTTTACTACCCACTGGGCCTGTGATGCTAAACCCCCTGGAACTCAAAGAGTTAACTGCACACATTCCAGAGGACTTTTTTTTTTTTATAGTGGCAGTACAATCCATTATTAATAATTTTGTTTGTACTTCTATACATATTTGTGGATGCTTTTAGAGATTCTAGAGATTTTTAGAGAATTGTTGTGTAAGACATTTTTGAATTGTTGAAATAGTTATTGCCATAAAAGACTTGTTAAATGCAATTCATTTTATTTTTTTTGCTAGGTAGTGTTCTCTTTCATAACCTATAATATAGATTTGTGCCACCAAAGACATATGTTGTGGATAATTAGAATTTTTTTTTTTTGTTTTGTTAGTATTGTCAAGTTTTTTGTCCTAGATATTTGAAAAGTAAGCCATAAAATAACACTACATTTTCATGCATTCAATTTATGGTATTCTGTTAGTACATAGTTTCCTTCTTTTTGTTCATTTTTTTTTTCTGCCTTATTCTTATTTTCCCTTCACTTTACAGTTCATGTTTTCCTCTCAGTGTCAGAGTAAGAAAAGAGTTTTGCAGCAAGCTCTGAAATCCACTCTGATACTTTAGTGTTTGTTTCCTTATTATTATGCTTATCTATTTTTGTTGCAGTTGCAGTGAAATGCTATTGTTCCCCCCCCCCCCCCCCCCCCCCCCCCCACCCCATCTGCTCAGAACTGATTTCTATCTTAGCTGTGATTTATAGCCAACCCTTTGTGCTAACTTTTTTTCAGGAAACTCTAAAAATGATATTCAATCAATTATTTTTTTTCTGTATGATATTATTCGAGGCAGGTTTGTAAAATAAGTTGCAGTATACAATCTTGAGGAAAAAAACCGTCATTCATAAAAATGATTTATTGCAGCCAAAAGTAAATCACACATTTACATTATTTCTCATCATAGTCACAGCTGATTTAACACATTTTTCTGGCACCAGGTTCTTTATTCCAATGTCATAGAAGTCTGCCGCCAGTGTCTTGGACCATTCATTAACGCCTGTCTGCAGTTTATCATCAGTTCAAACCACTGGGTTGCCAGCCACTTCTTTAGGTGCATAAAAAGGTGTTAATCCCATGGTGCTAATCCCATGGTGCTAGATCAGGGTTGTAGAGCGAATGGTCAACAATTTCCCAGTGAAATGTTTGCAACAATTAAACAGTTCCATGTGCGACGTGAGGTCAAGCATTATTATGCAAAAGCACGATTCCAGAGGACAGCAACCCACGTCTTTTGTTTTGGATAGCACGTCTAAGTTTTATCAGAGTGTCACAATAATGTTTGGCATTAACTTGTCTCTCCACGTTCAAGAAAGTCAATAAACAAGGCCCCTTTTTTGTCCCAGAAAACAGTGGCCGTAATCTTTTTGACAGGGTGCTTGCTTAAACATCTTTGCTTTAGGGGACCATGAGTGTCGCCAATCAGTCGACTGTTGCTTTGATTCGATGTTTGTGTAGGAAATCCAGGTCTCATCTCCACTAACAATTTGCCTAAAAAATTAATGTCCTTCATTTTGATAGCGCTGGAAAAAATTGTGAGCCGAAGCCAGTCATTTCTGCATGTGTTCATCAGCTAATATTTTCGGTAACCAACTGGCACACAATTTTTTGCATCCAGGGTTTCTTGTCACATTGTCACAAATCAGTGGATGTGAAACTTCCTAAAATTTGACAGACAACGCAGAAATTGTGAAACGATGATTTCCCTGAGTTTTTTGGTTCACTTCTTCGACCAAATCATCTGTCATCACACTCAGCCGACCATTGCGATTTTCATCATGGATATTTTTTCGGTCTTCAGCGCTTACAGTCCCAAGGGGTTTAACAGAGGGATAGTCAAGAGAGAAGTAAAATCAACACATCTTGTGTTCATTGGGCCTCTAGTTAGGACCCTATATGATATGTTCCTTGGGCCTGAAAGAGTTGAACATTCGACATTTCCTAACCATACTGTCAGTCATAACATCTAGCCCATTAACCTCAATGAGTTGCCTTTGAATTTCTGCAACAGTGTTGTTTGTTGCTAACAAAAAGCGTATCACAGCATGAACCTTGCAGCTGGCTGGAGTATTTATTTTTGCACTAACTATAAAATTTGATTACTCACACACAGCAGCAAACAAGATTTCATCAGTGAGAAAATAGCACACATCTAGCTAGTGAATCACATACACATACTGCATCTAAAATAAGAATAATATAAGAATAAGAAACAAAATTAAACCAGAAATCAGCGAGGAACAATGTGCATTTGAAGAAGGAAAAGGTACCCACAACGCCATATACATCCTAAGGACATTGTCAGAAATAGCTATAGAATTAAAGACTGATTTGTACTTATGCTTCATAGACTATACAAAAGCATTTGACTGTGTGAAACATGAAGAAGTAATCAAACTATCAGAAAAATTAAACATTGATGGAAAAGATCTATGAATAATAAAGAATATGTATTGGTAGCAAACAGCAGCTAAAAGAATTAATAACTGTTTAGGCACATTTCAGAACATAAAGAGGGGTGTACGAAAGGATTTGTACTGTCACCTGATTTGTTTTTACTATACAGTGAATATATAATGAGATCTTTAATTGATATGCCTGGAATTGTGGTTGGTGGGCACAATATAAACATTATGCAGATGACACTGTCTTGATAGCAACAAGTCAGAAAGATCCTCAGAAATTGTTATTGTGGTTATAGAATGTGGAAGAATGGGCCTCAGTTTGAATAATGGGAAGACAGAAGTAATAATGGTTTCAAAGAAAAAAATTATTCCTAAATGTGTAATAAAAGTCAATGGTGTTATTTTGGGACAAGTTCAGAAATTTAAGTATCTGGGCACATGAATAACATCAGATGGAAGATGCATTACTGAGATAAGAAACAGAGTAGGAGAGGCAAAAACTGCATTTTATAAAATGAAGAACATGCAATATATCTTTGTCATTGAGAGTTAGAAAAAGAATTCTTGCTTGCTACATACATTCAGTTTTAACATATGGCTGTGAATCCTAGACAATCGGTAGGCAGGCCAAACAATTTTTTGAGGCCTCAGAGATGTGGTTTTACAGAAGAATGCTTAGAATACCTTGGTACAGTCAAAAAGAGCAACCAAGAGGTTTTGAAAGAGGCGGAAGCCCAAAGACAACTCATCACAAACATCAGAAGGAGACAGTCATTATTTTTCGGCCATGTTGTGAGAAAAGGGAAAATGACCACTGGAAAGATCTGTAGATAGAGGAAGACAACGAGAGAAGATTCTTGACAATCTTGTTGCATGGCATGGAGGTGTGTCAGCACACGAACTGATACAAGCTGCAGGAGATCGCAGATTGTGGAGAGGCATTATCGCATACGCCAGTCGGCAAGGCATCTGATGATAATGATGATAGAACAATTATGTTTTTCATCGGTGTTTGTCAATGTGGTTAAAACAGGACTTACTTAAAAAACATGCCTCGTACCAAATACATTTCGTCCGAAATATTGTTTTATTTTAATCTGTCACACCTTTGTTATGTTAAACCTGTTACACTGGATTTCATTTTTTTTTTTTGGTTAAAAAAAAAAAGTTTTCCTGTGCTAGAAATACCTATGTCTGGAAAATGTATAATATGATGAGAAGTAAAACTGTTGAACAATTATCTTTTTCTGTTTCCACTGTCACAAGTTTGGTCTGCAATATTGACGACATCTGCTCAGTGAGATGGCATGTTTAGTTAAGTGTGTTCAATTTTAGCATTGATATTTCCATAATTGAAATGTGTCTACATGATTTACATAAGCTGTTGATATTCTAGCAACTTGGTGGCATGCCTTGTTCTTCAGCAGAGCAGGTCATCTAGTTTTACTGCTGTTGTTCCCTTAGTAGGGTTCCATGGGCTCATGGGGGGGGGGGGGGGGGACTAGATCTTATGGGCTTCCTCTCCCACCCCCAACGGGCATATCTTTAAAGTCAACTAATCAGGAGTAGTTCCTCTAAAGTTTGATTGCATCTGCTTGAGAGGTGAGAACCAACAGTATGCACACAGATAAGCCAGATGTGTAAAATGGATGTGCACATACAACTCAAGTATTGGAACAAGACCAAAATCAAGAAAGTTAATGAACAACCAGAACGTTAACCTGGAGTTTATAGCCGGTGGACATGAAGAAGAAGAAAAAGAAGACTGCTGTTGTATTCAGCATTTTTAGAACATCTATAATGTGAGCAGAAACGGGTCTCTTTGAGGCAACCAGCACACAGGATATCACACTGCCAGGATTAAAGCTCATTTGGGAATTGTGGGAAGATGCTTTCTGGTACATCAATGAGGA